AGACAACCTCTCGTCAATATGCGTTTTTCGCATTGCATTGCTGCAAAAAACGCATAAAAAATGAGCGCGTTAGTAGAAATAATATTAGAACAAATTACAAAAAATTTCTTAGAATAATATTGAAAATAGATTATACAAGGGGCCATAATTTGAAAATTTTCTATAAAAACGAAAATGTTAATTTTCGGTGCTTATTTATTGCAGAACGAAGCAATGACGGGTACGCATACACAAAATCCGGTTTATTCACGACTAACATTTGCACTTTTGGAAGACAGTGGGTGGTATAAACCAAACTACAGGTGAGATTCATGTTAAATCGATATGGGAAAAAAAATGACACAACCGAGGTTTGTTTAACGTGGAAGTGATTTGGAAATAGCATTTGTTAAATTAGAATTGGGCACAGGAGTTCTGTTCATAGCGTTTTTCTGGATTCTCGATGTGGAACTTACAGCGACGATTGCGAAGCAGTCTTTCCCGTAATTCGAGTTCAGCTACTCGAAACTTTGTCTTAGAATATGTTCACTGGTGGCTTTCTCTCCTGTAAACCCGTGAGCCGTCTCATGCTTACCTAAATCGTCGATCTTACTAACTGGTACTGTCATGATATCCATCTGTTGCCGTGAAGTCCAGTGAATTTGAAATCTTTAAATTGTAAATGGGCTGAAAATGTCAGCCCTTCGGCTTTTTTGGTTTCCGTGTTAACAGTTTTCTCACCAAAGCTTTCGCGTGTTCGTACGCGGGGCTTAAACGTGCGGGGAGGCTGGTCCGCATTTCTGGGGTAGCCCTTGATCAGGACTGCAAAACTCCAACGTAGAAACTTACTGGGTCGCCAGGTTTAAACAGCTGAAAAGACGCGCACACACACGTGAACACAAGCTACATACATATATACATACATAAATACATATATACATACATACATACATACATACATACATATATACATACATACATAGATGCATACATACATACACACATACATACATACATACATGCCAGTTCATCTGTTATTTTGTGTGTTGTTGTGTGTAATGATTTTCTTTGGTTCAATAAAGACTTGTTGGTTAACCAGGCTCATCATATATATGCGCAAATCAAAACGTTGTGTTTCAGTGCTGCTGAAGAGCTTCATTGGGGTAATCATCTTGGCTGTGACTTTGCAATGAAAAGTTGTGGTGAGTGGATTCAAAAACAGCGAGAAAAGTGAGTTCATACCTCCCTTCTATTTCCCCTCATTTTCTGTTTTATGTTGTAATACTGTATAATTAAACAGTCAAAAATAAAAACTTTCTTCATTTTTCTCACTCTCTGACAGGCTTATGCGGAACTCCTTGACATACGCTTGGTGCCATTTTTTCATCAAAACTAATAAATGATACGTACAGAGATCAGTTCTTCTACTGATAAAATCGAATTCTAGACGTTTTAGCACATAATCAAAATTTTTAAATTCTCTCGCGTTTTTTCTTGACTTTCGTGCAATTTAATAAAATTGAAAATCTGTTTCTTGTAATTTTCGTAAATTTTTAATTCCTATTGCTTTTTGGCTTTTTTGCTCGCGAGACTTTTTCTTGAGACTTCTTTGAATTTTTTCATTTTAATCGTTTAAAATTTCATTCAGCAATTTCTTCGCTCTGTTTAACTTTAAAAATATTAAAGAGATCTGTCGCCAGTTCCATTTTGTGATGAAATCAAGCACGATGGCAAGCGTTCATTAGCAACAACTCGCTGTACGGCCCAGCGCGATTCGTTGGCTTTATGTAATTTGGTAAAGCGTTTTTATGCGTTTTTTGCAGCAATGCAATGCGAAAAACGCATATTGACGAGAGGTTGTCTG